CGGTTCTGCTATGATGGCTGTTTTTATTTTTTTTTTTAAATTTTACTATAAGTTTAGCAGAATTGAACATTAAATATGCCTTACGGGAATAGCACATACAAAATGGTTAATAAATTTGTAAATTTTCTTCCTGAAATTTATTGATAAAAGAAGTGAGGAAATGAAATCATCGAATTTGATTTCTTTGATTAAAAAAATTCCAAAATTTGAAATTGTCAACCGATAATAATTGACATCATTTGTCGTATTAGCCTTGTAACTATATGCTAGGAATAATAATTGTAGCATAAATTATAGGTCACTGATGGATTAGTAAGCGTTAAAAGAGATGAATTTTAAATTGAAATTTCAATGAACAAAAAAAAAAGTCTTTTTTTTTGCTGAATACATATTTACATACTTATTCAATTGCGATCATTTAATTTTCCCAATTTTTTTCCTCCCTACTATAATTTGACCCAAATTTTACTGCTCCTTTTTTTTTCAATTTTTCCTCCTCAATGATGATGAAAATTTATCATTCATTAATTGTATACTATTAATGATTATTGAGTATTGATTATAATTTATTTTTTGGTGAAATCTCACTCTTTTTTTTTCTAGCGTATCAATAATTTCATCCGTTGTGCCATTTTTCTTTTCATCCAAAATTTGCTCTTTTATTTCTCTTTTTCTTTCTATTAGATTGTTCATAAATTTTTGTTAGAATTACTTTTCTTAATAAAATTTTGATATCATATTTTTGCACGTCATTATCATCGTTCTTTTTTTTTTCTATGCAGTAAATTTTATCTTGCTGGATATTTATTTGATAGATTTTATTACAATATGCATTTGATAAATTGTCAGTTTGAAAAATTTCTATGAATTACCAGATTAGTTGATCCATTACAAGTTTTGTTCATTTTAATAAAATTTGCAGTTAGCTTTTTTCAATAAATTCCACGCAGTTTTTTTTTTCTCTTTTTCTCTTTTTTTTTTTCAAATAGAAACTAAAAGAGTTTTTGTTTCTCTCTTCCTATATCAGTTCAAACATATTAAATTTTTAAATGAAAAATTAAATTATTTTTGGTGATTCGATAATTTCATATGTTTTTGATTAATTAATTGATTTTTAGGCAAATGATTTTTTTAACTGATTATTAATTAATATGTGAAGTAGAGGGAAATTTTGATGATATGAAATTGAATGTGATCATTTTAAGCTTGATGATCAATCAATCGTTCTGATAGATCAAAAGCCCGTAAAGCATTTTATCAACAAACATTGTAATAGACATTGTGTAATCTTGCTTTCAGAAATCAGTTGAAATTTTAAAAAACGAAAATTTTTCGTAATCCAAAGAAAGAAAAGAATTAATGACGTTTGCTTTTATTCATTAATCAGAGCTAAACATTTCAGGTTTTTTTAGGACAAAAATTGAAATTTCAAGGAGATTTTATCATAATGATTTAAACTAAAAGTTTAATTTCGTACAAATCACTGAATTTAAACGAATTACATTTAGTATTAATGAATGGGGCAACTTAACTATCGAAATGCAACAATGCAATCTTTTTTTTTTATTTTTTAATTTTAAATTAAAAAGTTTGGTTGAAGAGAAAAGTGAGAAATTTGGCATGAAGATGTGTAAAAAAGGAATAAAAACGATGAAACAATGATTTCTGATAATTTTCATTCGCAATAATGATTACATTTGATGACAATAATTATGAGAGACACAGTGCTGATAAATGTGATTATGTTGAAGTTTCAATGTGATGCACTTGAACCAATTTTTTTTTTTTAAATGGTTTTCATATCTTTTTAAACGAGAAAAAAAACTGTAAAACTGTGACACACTCTTCGTCTATTTGAGCTGATTTTTTTTCTTTTTTTTCTTCTCTCTCTCTCTCTCTCTCTTCAAATGATTGTGGCTCTTCGATGAACCATTTTTGAAAATTTCACATTGAATTTGCTACACACACTACTTTTTTTTGAAAAAAAAAGGAATTTAAAAATGATAAAAAAATATATAGCGCAAATATTACTAACTAACTAATTAAGCCATATTCACATCTTTTGGATTTTTTTTCTCGAAGCAAATAAAATATTTTATAGTATTGTCGAAAATCATTGTCTTTTTTTATTTTCTTTCTATGCTTACTAAGCACAGTTTTACATTTTAGTGTGCATGTTTCAAATATAAATTAATATTTTCATTGTTGCAAATAAAATTGATTTTCGGATGCCTGAGATCATAACTTTTCTGATTTATTAATTCATTTTCCCTTGAAGGTTATAAATAAATTTTGGAAGATAATTATTGAAAGAAAAAGGCTGAAGGAAATATATGCAGAAATATTCTCTTCTGTGTCTTCCCTATAACTTTACAGAAATATATGCAACATATAAAGTATTTATTACTTCACCTTCTTATGATGTAATCAATAATTGCATATATTATATATAATTCAAAAATTCTCCAACATAATTTTCTCAGTAAAGTTTGAAAAACTAAATTATAGCTTAAGATGATAATTTTCCCCATTCATTCTTTACTACTTTAAATAATAGAATTTCAAATTTTCATTTAAAATTCTGTTATTGCTATATTTCTGTTGTAAAAATAATAACTATGAATAATTGCCATGCTAAAATTGTTGCAGCAAAACTTACCGTATCTAAATTTTGATTGAAATTTTTTTTTTCAAATCATTAATCAGATTAGCAAATTTTTCATTGGATATATGGGCAAATTTGATTTAATCTTTGTTCAAATTCAAATAACAAAAAAAAAAAGAAAAATTAAAAAAAAAAGAAGTTATTGAGGAAAAAAGTAAGCGACGATTTGTCAATTTGTCATAATGAATGACAAATTAATTTCAATGTGTAAAAAGGAGACGAAGAAGGTGACAATATAGAGGTACCAGGTACCACGTAGCAAATGGTTTGCAATGATAGCGAAATTATACCAAATATTATGGATGGTTCACTGTCATCATTGTTGACCTCAGCGTTAATCAAACAATGATAGTTCAAGGTCTATGAAAAATTTTTAACTCTCTCTGCTCTACACATTCTTTGTAAATTTACCTAACCAAAATTTCCATCCGTCTTACTTTTTTTCCAATCATATCCTACCGTGGAGAGAATTGAAAGTTAAAAATTTCTTTCTTATCAATTAGCTAATCAGCTAGAAATGGAATTTTTTTTTTTTTGCAAATAGTTTAATTTAAAAGTTAATCTTTTCTTTTATTTTTTTATTTTTTATCTTTTCGTGTCCATTTTAATTGTTTCCATTTATGTTTTAGTTATTTAATTGTTGCTTTTTTTTTTTTTGATTTAGCCATTCATTTGCTTATTTATTTACCTAATTTTACATCTTTCTTCTTATTCCATTGTTCTATTATTCTTGTTTTTATTTATTTATTACTTAATTATTTTGTTCATTTATTTTCTCATTTATTTATTTTTCACAAACTATCTGCTAATGCATAATCTTAGTTAGTTGACTTACTGCTAATAGTTTTATAGCTACGGTGACCTTAAAATCATGCTTAAAAAAACGACAAATAAAAAGTTTAATAACTGTCATATTGGCTTATACATATGAACGAATTTTACCTTGATATTTTCCTTACTTGTCAAGGTAAACCATTAGATACAGTAGTAATTTTTGAAGATCAAAAAGCAGCATTAATGAAGTTACTTTTTTTGCATCAAAATCCAAAGGAAAAAAAAACAAAAAATAAAGAAAATAAAAAAAAAGAAAAAGAAAATAATAATTTTTTTTTTGCTTTCAAAATAATTATCTTAATTGGTCTTTTTCTTTTCACCCATTTCTCTTCCGTTTTTACCGAAGATAAATAGTGTGAAGTTTTGGAAAGGAAAGACAAAAAATCCATACTTGCTATTTTGTATTTTTTGAAAAATTACTTTATGCTAAAAGTAATTTAAAATAAGCCCTTTATTTGTTGCATATTTAATTTGTTTAATTATTCAGAAAATTACTCCTCACAGCTAGTAGCAGAAAATTTTTCTCAAATTTTGGTATTTATTTTTCTTAAATTTTCACCGAAATTTTAAAAGTAAAATTTGTAAGAATTATTTTAATTTGTTAAAAATGCTGCTTTGCAATAAAAATTGAATAGTTTTATTTTTATTTTTTTGAGATTTATCCTAAAAGAGATGAAAAGCCAAAATCTGTCAAATTAAAACATGATTTTTTGAAATTTGTTAAAAATACTTTTTTTTTTTATTTTGCAGATCAAAAACAATCCATATATTTTATCCTTTCAATCTTTTTTTTTTTGAAATTTATATTTTATAATTGGTAATAAGAATTTGGACGATCATTTTTTCCTATTTTTTGCTCAATTTTATATTCGATACTGGATTTTGAATTGTGTTCACTGTTCTAATATTGTCGTTTTTTAGGCTTTTTTTCTTGAAATTTATATTTTATAGTTAGTAATAAGAATTTGGAAGATCATTTTTCCCTGTTTTTTTTTTTTTTGTTTAATTTTGTACTCGATACCGGATTTCGAATTATGTCCACTGTTGTAATATTATCGTTTACTAGCTTTATATTTAAATTATGAAAAAAAATTTTTTTTTTTTTGGGATAATCTCAGAAGTGACGATGTTGAATAATGTATCAAAGAATTGTATACAATCATCGTTCTGGTTGGATCATCGCCATTTTTTTCGACCTTTGTGTAACATTAAATTTGATAAAAATTGCTTCAAATTAAGAAGCATTTTCGGGACATATTATCGGTCAGCTCTGTTTGAATTTTTTAGATTTTATTTAATTAGTTAATTAAACAGTTGGCTAATTTTAGATGTTTCTATTTGCTGTCAATTTTTCTTCTTTTTTCTCGACTTTCTTTTTGATTCTTTTTTAATCTTTTGATTTTTACTAAGTTAGAATCACGAAATACCAATAATTTTAATGCATAATTTCATTATTTCAAAATTATTTAAGGACAAAGGGAGTGTATCGTATCATAATCAATCTAATGTTTGGCAAGAAATTTTATTACATTTAGTTCCTCTTTCTTTTTTTCTCTTGAGATAAATATTTTATGAAAATTCATAACGAATTATCATAATTGATTAGAATTGATTTTCCATTACAATTATATTGTTCAGAGTTTTTCTTTTTTTGTTTCAACAAAAATAAAAATAAAAAATTTCATCAAAATTTTTAAAATTTAATAAATTTTCATTTTGATGTATCACAAAATTAACCATATTGTAATATATTTCTTTTTTCCTTTTCGTTATTTTGACTAAATGAAGGAAAAAGAAGACAAAAAATTAATTTTATAGGTATACGGTAACGGCAACATCAGATGGTACGAAATTATCGAATGCAACAAAGGATAAAGGTAATGGTGAGGTAGCTGCGGTACGTGTTAAAGCCCGTTATCAATCGGTGCAGATATTGCCTATGCGAGCATATACTGATTTATTAACTTTCATCAAGTAAGTTGTTTTCCTTTTCTGAAAAAAAAAATTGATGAATTAAAATTAAAAGAAATTGCAAGTGGTGTATAGCTCTTTTGTATATTCGATATAGATCACGTTTATAATTTTCAAATTTTTTAATAATTAATTAATCAAGGAGTGGTCTTTCTATATCGATGAAAATGATGAATAATCAGCTTAAGCAGCAAGACTATTTCTATGTAATTCTAATAAATTCCAACTTGAAGATTATGTATGCATTAATATTGGAATAGGAGAGCGATGAAGAATTAAAAATATAGCGCCAAATAGATAAAAGATATTTGCAGGGAAAGAATATCAAATAAGTATTTTGAGTTTTCCAATTATTAAATTTTTAGACAATATTATTTATCATTATGCTGTGTTTTGGAACCAACATTAAGTGTGAAAGCAAAGGAAGATTTGGCAACAGTACTTGTACGTATTATGCACAAATTACATATGGCCAAACATTTCTTATGCGATTTAATTATGTCTGAAGTGG